ACTCGCGAAATTTATGAGTAGAAAATCGGATATAGTAGTGCGTGCTGGAATATTTGACATTGAGATTGCATCATCAAGGGGCAGCGACGATTCAGCAAGGAGGCCGAGAGCTGCCGTGATTTGCGCTGCAGCGAAAGGACAAGGAGACTATAAAGAGAGATCGCCTGCGGCGAACAGATTTCTGCATTACCACCGCGAGAATCATGAATTGAAAAACTGTCGCAAGTTTAAAAACGAAAACACTAGGCGCAAGTGATTTTTAGCTAAGCAGTGACGACTTTGCTTCAAGTGTCTGAGCGACAGACACTCGCGAGGGGACTGCAACGCGAAAGAAACGTGTGAAACTTGCCGTAAGTACCATCATATTTTCTTACATTCTTTCGGTGGCCACGACGACCGAAATAATTCTGAACGCAGAGGCCGACGTGACAATGCTGATCGAAGGGAAGATCGCGACAAGAGGGGTTGCGATGGTAAGAGAGACCGTGACGATAAGAAAGACCGCGACGAGAAAATAGTCATTTAAATACTTAATTATATTTAAATAAATAATTCTTAAAAATAATAAAATATTTATCATTAATTAAAATTATAATATTAATAAAAAAATATGTATCAACACTACGGAGAATCGAACCCGCGCCCTTCGTGCGTTTGCTCGACTACGGCATGCCGTCTGAGCCGTAGTTATTATTTTCAGAGACTTTTGTAAATTATTAAAGAATTTTTATGAGTATTCTTTTAATAAATTATTTATAGAATAAGATTTATTTTTATCAATAAAAAAAATTTCATTTAAGGAAAAACACAATTTTTAATAAATTATTTTTATACTTGTAGAATAAGACGTATTTTTATAAATAAAAAAAATTTCAATAAAAATACAATGTTTACTATTTACTCCCCCTTCCCTGCTCCACTATTTGATTAATTAATGATGAGTACATACACACATACATACATGCATGCATACATACATACATACATGCTTACATACATAAATGCTTACATACATACAAGTATGTATAAATGATAACGCGTAATTATGAAACGCACTTCGAATCACTGAGGCGCGGGGACGTCGTTCTACTCGCTTTGGTTGTGTAGCTAATATATACAGTAAGAACTACCAAGAGCTAAAAGCAGCCGTGGCTCAGTTGTGAGCGTTATAAGATTATTGCACTTCATGAACTTCAAATGAGCAGTCATGCAATTGCAAAAAAGTTGGAAGTTGATAGGCGTACAGTAGATTATAATATTGAAAAATTCTGTAAAAGAGGCAATTAGAACATATAAGTCGAAAGCCAACAAGAAAAACTACTGAAAAAGAAGACAGCTATATTTGCGAAGTAAGTTTGTAAAACCGAAAGATTAGAGACCTTGAAATTACTGCACATGTTAATGAAGGCTTGAAGAAAACTATAAGTGTAAGCACAGTGAAAAGGTGTTTAAGAGAGAAAGGACTATTTGGTTGAATCGCCCATAAAAAACCTCTATTACGATTGGTAAGTAAGAAGAAACAATAGGCATGCCAATTGGAGGGCATGCCAATGGGAATGCCCATTGCATGAACCCAATGCAATGGGCAAGAGCACACTAAAACTGGATAATTGATGATTAGAAGAAAGTTCTGTGGTCAGATGAATCAAACTTTGAAATTTTTGGTAGTAAAAGAAGAGTTTATGTAAGAAGAAGGGCGAATCAGATATATAACAATGAATGTTTAGTTGCTAGAGTGAAGCACGGTGATGGTTCAGTTATGGTAAGGTTTTGTTTTGTTTGATCAAGAGTAGGCGACCTCGTCAAAATTGATAGTATCCAAAAAAAGAATTAGAAAAAATTTTACTAACAAGGAAGGTACCCCAACCCGAACTCACCGATTTTGATAATTCTCGTACATGTTGTAGTACATTAAAAAAGCAACAGATTGGTATTTTTTTTATCGGCGGAAAAATATATTTAAGGGGTGAAATCCACCCTCAAAGTTCACCCCCAGAAACATTTTTTTCAAATAACTTTTTCTTCTAGTCAATATTTTTTAATAAAACAAAGTGGGTAATAATCCTTATAAAAAGTAAAACAAACTCTGGTGTGTTTGACTTTTGGGGGTTGGAACCCCTATTTTTAATACAAAAAAAATTAAAAAATGGACATCATTTTCTGCAGTAAAAACTTTAAAAGCTATGCGTCCCTACCCGTTTCTGTACGCTAATTTCAACCAAAGAAATAAAACTTTAATATTTGACTAATTTTGCTCGTGGGTGGGTAAAAATTCGTGACCGACACTGTATATATAATTAAAAAATGACATTTCGTAGTGACGATCGGAGTTGTTATTTTTATGTTTACTTACGAATTGTTTACAGGTGAATAATAGATCTGAAAATAATCTCTACTTGGCAGTCAATAAGTGATAAAGCTTTTAGATTTTTGGTGACTATCTTGAACAAAAAATATCCCCTAATAACGTAATTTACAGTTTATCAAAGAGTATTGTTTTATCAGTAATGTTATTAGTTTCTACATCAAGTAGCCGTAATTTGGCAGCATAAAATATATAAAATACAGATCTTTGACTTTTTTATCCTCCATTTTAAAGGTCTGCAATTTTATCAATAATGAAAATATTTGTTCGAAAAAATTAGGTATATACTTTAACTATTCAAAAATACATAGTCCAGTGGAATTTATAAAAAATTTCATTTTCTGTTAAAAATGTAAGTTACAAAATTTCAAAAACAAAAGGTTTTCAGCAATGAAATGAAACTTAACAAAAAAATCACATATTAATAATTATACAAAATAAATTATACTTAATCATGTAGATAATAGTGTCGAAAAATTTTCAAAGATTTTGTTTTCCATATCATTGTTACTGTTTTTGAACATACTCTTTTTCGACTTTCAGGTCGTGTAATGAATCTTACTTACAATTTTTCTCGGTCTTAGGCTTTTTGTAATAATAAATACAACTTTTCGTATCTTACAAAAATTTACAAATAATTTCATGAAATATCTAATTTTTTTTTAATTACCTTTATAACGTCTCCGTTTGAGTTAATGGTGACGTGAGCACAATTAGAGACGAGCGATTTAGTACAATTCTTCAAATTAATTATCGAATATGTAAAATTTTTCATTGCTGAGATCGACATTTTGCGGTTTTACAACATAGTTTTTATAATTTTCCAAATTTGTTAAAAATTATGAGTTTTAAGATATTCAATGTAGCAACTTAAGTTTTTTCAAATAAATTATTTTCATTTCTGATGAAATGACAGACCTTCAAAGTTTAGCGTAAAAAAATTATCGAAAGTTTTTTTTCGTCTTTCATGCTATAACAATTTTTGTATGCACCATAATGCAATACAAATAAGCTTCGATATCCATTAAATCACATTACTATGCAATTTTTTGCTCAAAATAATCATGAAAATCCTGAAAGATTTATAATTTTTTCACCCATAGGTAAACATCGTCAATCAATCTTTTTTATCAGACAAGTAAATTAACTCAAAACCATGTTAACATTACAATGAATGAACAATTGTTATATAGGTCAGAGATGAGTCGTTTATACCTTAAAATATTTTAGGATCTTAGATCGAATAAACAACAATAATACAATTTGATTTGTGTTAAAATTAATTATCGACGAAGTGTCTCGATGACGTTCACTTGAGTGTTGGAAATTATTAAAAAAATGTTCTAGAATGTATAAGAGTCAAACAACCTTTCTCTATTCATATATAACAATTAATAATTAACTTTTCAGCGTTTTTTTATCATCTGGAATGTAGAATTTTATGATTCTGTTGTGAAATCAAATAAAAATCTGCACTTATCTTGTTCTGATTTTGTTTGTAATCATAACTCTGAATCAATGTTACACCAGAATAGATTGAGAGTAAAAATAAATTATTTAGCGATGAGTCTAGACTGAAAATGAATCATTGAATAAATAACTTTAATATCATTCTTAATTAAAAATGTATTCCTATTTGAAAATTTTAATATTAGTTTTTTAATTTATTAAATCCAAATTTGGGAAAATACTTTATGCTGCTTTTTTCCTTCTGATATGATTTATATTTTTCTACAATCTGCAAATACAATATAGTTGAAAATTCTACGATCATAATAAATTCAGGTAAAATCTATAATTGACTTTATCATAAATTTTTAATTATTCGGTACTACTCATAAGAAAGTTAGGTTTATTATAGGTTATTGAATATGTGTATTTATAAATCAAAACATAGATAAAAAATGTAAAAAGAACTGTTAATAGATTAAAATCAATAAATATCAATGAAAATCTATATTCTGAGAAATCTTTATAAGATTGAGATAAGCAATGCGCTGAATAAACTCTTACGAAGTTTTGTATGAATTCTCAGCCACGGATCAGCCTTTTCTTTGCTTTGTTTCCTTCCATTCCACATGGTATACTGTAGAAAAATGTATCGAATAAAGAAGGCGAGAAGGATTGATGGAAGGGTATAATATTGTTAGACTACTAAATCGCGAAAGGGCAATAACACGAATAAGCATTGTTGCTAATAGTTGGTGAGCCAGCGGCAGATGAGAACGTGGTCTCTAAAGAAGTTAAAGGAAAGAAGACACCCAATATTTTAAACTCCTTATAGTCTTGGGAGCTTGGCAAGCTCCGCCCAGCGACCAATGGGAGAGTACTCCCTACCCAAATGATACCTAGGAGAAGGGACAGTAGGGGACTAGTGAGTCCATCTTTGACGATTTCCCACCTTTGGAAAAATGTTCAGACTGAATGTTTCAAGCCGTGGAAGAAAGCGTGACTGACGACCTTGCCGTCACAGTAGACCGTGTTCGGTAGTGTGATCAGGCTGTGTTAGCAGATCAAAAGGCTCTAATATCACGAAGATAGACAATAGTGATTAAAAAATCAACGAATCCAAGATAATTGCGTTTGAGTTATTGTTTTAAAATTATAATTTTTAAAAAGTATAATCTATCTGAGGTGCTGGTGGGTGAGTGAAAGTGTGCTTGTGTGCGGGGTGATGCAGCGGACCTGGAAGTTGGCTGCTGTAGGTGGTGTTGCTGCTCGAGTGCAGACGCCAGACTCGGGCTCGGCCGAGGTTAAAGATCCGCAGCAGTTATGCTGCTAGCTCGTTGGCTGCTCGCTACCCAGCTCCTCCTTGGACAGCTCGTGGGCCTCGCGTTTGCTTGTGGCCCCGGCCGAGGCGGTGGCCGCCGGCCTATTCTACGCAAGCTCACGCCCCTTGTTTTTAAACAGCACGTACCAAATGTTTCGGAGAATACATTGCCCGCCTCAGGTCTCAGCGAAGGCCGAGTTTCACGCAATGACAACCGTTTTCGTGATTTGGTACCCAACTATAATGCCGACATAATATTCAAGGACGAAGAAGGCACTGGTGCCGATCGACTGATGACACAAGTTAGTATTTTATCATTTACCCTAATAATTTCCAACTTCGTTGTAACTTCCATGTGTACGCAAGTACACATATGCATACATATGTACATACCAAACATTTTTATAAGAAAATTTAAAAAAAATAATCAGTTGCCCTGCTTTAATCTCATTTTTCATTGTGTTTGTAAAATCGATAATATTTTATCTACGTGTAATTCCAACGTCAGACGTCACTATTTACATAGTAACTCGCGTGATTCTTCAACACATGCTTATCGAAGCATATTGTTTTCTCTAAAAAACTAGAGGTATACAACAGTTGTTGATGTAGTTATTACGATATCATAATAAATTATATCATTATGATAAATATTAGACATAGACAAATTACCAGTGTTTTTTATAGGATATACTATATAATAAGAATGTAGATATGAGCATTTCATAAATATATAAACATTTCTTTAATCGTAGATGAATTACTGACTTTGAAATTATTTAAAAAATGTAAAAAATTTATTGGAAATACTTTTTATATTAAATATTTAGAAAATATTTGATAAAAGTTAGTCCGGGAATTGAAGTAAATGTGTTAGTTGATTATCTTCTTTTATAATATACATATTTAGTAATTAAATTTATTAGTATTGTGTGCTAATTATTAAATAAATAAAATATGTATATATAGTGGTCATAGTGATATTGAAGAATTGACGTTTTTTATAAGCTGCAGTTATTCATTTAATATTTCTAGAATGAAGTGCATAAAAATGACTTCTAAATAATGAGTTTATAGATTTTATATACATTCTTTCTTTTAAAATAAACTTAATTCAGACAACTTAACAAATTTCAATTATCATCTGAATTTCGCAGGAATCTTTAAATAAATGTATGTTTGATATTTTTAAAAGTTTCGATATACAAATTTTTGTTATCATTAGGGAAATATGTTTGATAATATTTGAAATTATAATAAATTATTTTGAAGAAAATTTACACACACACACATACTATGCACGCAAACCAAAACAATTTCTTTTTAGTATCAATTAATCCCTTATGATCTTTATATTTAAAAAATTTGTTCGAAACAAATAGAAAGATATCTTACAAATCCATTTTCTTGAATCAAATAGTTTTATTATAGTTAAATCATTAAGTTTTAATAGAGTAAAACACTTTTTTTAAATTCAAATAAACGATTTGTATACGAAATATACTTTTGAATAAACTAAAGATTATTTAAAAATGGTTATTTTATTTCAATATATCAGCTTTGTTTCATTAGAACTTCAAGTATTTATACAATCAATAAAATACTTATAAGTATTTTTAAGTCCCTAATATTGAAAAGGAAATCTAAAAAATCAAGAGCATATATGTAATATGAAATCGAATTTATATGAGATTAATGCTTTGCTATAAAATGTCCTATGCCGTTATTGGATTACTTATATATTTTTCCAAAGAGCCTATTGTTGAAGAACGTTCATAAGTTTAACGTTCATAGTACCATATGTACTAGTATATAACAGAAAAAGTATTTTGAAGTTGTTCTTAATAAGAGAGTAACCATCAATACTTACCTATCAAATACATGAAAACTTAAAAATAATTTCTTACGAAATTCAAATAGCGGCGCGTGCTCGAGTAAGGAAGCCATGAAGCCATTGATTGACGCGTCAATTAAAATTATGCGATCGTGCGGAAGGGACGCGTAAATTGATCCAAGGTAAATAAACAGTGACCACTTCCTTCCTTTGGTTAGTCGAGACAGATCCAATGACTTGGGCTTAATCATTATGATCTCTCATTTAAAACACTACGGCGACGTGGGAAAGGATCACGCGATGATAACGCATAACAGATTTCTTATACTTTATTTTTTTATTACTCTGCGAATCGAGAGTATTCAGATTTCTTCTTAAATTTTCTGCATTATTTATATACTTTGATACGATATGTTAAGCAACAACATTATCCCAATAAAAGTTTTTCATATATATTTTGACCTACTAAATCTGAATTTTTTTGGCTCCGATATCGTCAAATTATAAATTAACAAGGTTTCAACAATTAATAAAAAAATGTGTGTTTTGTAAAATAGAAAATTTTTTAGTTTATTGAATGAATTTTAAATAAATTATATTCCGGACAGTTTTTCATCCTAGTATATGATTTGTGAAATACCAATTATCGAAGTTTATAAAATACGATTCATTACATTTTTAACTATAACTCTATTACAAAAATATGTACTGAATACTTGTAAATAACTTAAGCGGGTATAGTACCGTATGCTAGTGTTAAACTAGCATAACTATTATGAACTTTCTTAACTGTATAAATAGTGTTCTAAAATTATAATCATAAACATTTTTTATTATGAAAAATAATAAAATAATCAGTGGAAATTCAGCATTGTGAATGATTTATGAATAAAAAAAGCACGAAATTTTAATTTTTATTATATTTTATGATTCATGAATAATTAATGTTGATAATATTCTACAATATTAATCAAGAAAGGAATTATACAATTAATCATTTGGTTTAAGAAAGTGTAAGGTTATATTTTGAAATTATGTTAGATTTATTGAAATTAGTACAAATAAACAATTTGACTGTCATCTATGATATGTGAAAGAGGTAGAATGAAAGTAGAATAAAATGAAAAAAATATATTTTTGTGTCTATAGATTGTAATGTAATGACGTATGCGGACAATGGAAACTAATTATTAGAATAATGAACCTATTAAATTTGAAGCATGTTTTCAAGTGATTCCACCGAGGCAACTAAAAAAACATATGATAGAAAATGTATTACTTATAGTAATATTACTGATTTACTATAAGACCATAGCAAACCATTAATATGGAGAAAGATTTGGCATTGTACAAGAGTATAAAAGTTTAGTGCATTTTATTAATCATAGATATCTGATCGATATTTTAGATAATTTCGCGATACATATTGAATAAAGTAAAAATATTTCGTTTTTTGTGAAATGAAGTACAAATTCAATTTTTATTCATCAATAAATACCGCGATGGTCATAATGTATTTCAAACTGTATGATTTATTCTTGTGTATATACTCGTGCTTATATTAGAATTTCAATTTTGGCTTGTAAAAAGTTTAGTTAATATTATAAATAAAACAAAAACTTAAAATGAAGAGTGTATTAAATAAATTTAGTAAGGTTAAAAATCCAAAAAGTCGTACTTTTCAAAACTTTGATGACTGACCGGAAAGAAAAATGACTAAAAATTGATTTTACTCAAAATATATCGAGGAATCCAAAAAAATTTTGTTTTACAAGAAAATTAATTTTTCATTAATTAAAAAAGTATTGTTATTAATAATTGAATCAACAATTGACAAAAATGCACCTAAGAAATTAGATTTAACAAGTCAAAACCGTAAGAAGAACCTTGGTTGATCCGTCTAAGTTGAAAAGGCCGCGTGGCCATATCTGGCACCTTGATTATTTGTGGCTACTTCGTGTTTGACTCGCATCAGGTTTGCGACTGCTTTCTTAAATATCTATGGCGATTCTATTTGAGCAAATGACTCCAATTTTATTGAATTCTTGCAAAGTATAATATATCAGAAAACATACTGTCAGTTACAAGTCCTATTTTACTAGACAGTATACTAAAATTCATTAACGTGATTTTTATCGGTCTATATATTGTTACTGAAGTATTGCTATCATTTTCAATCAAGGGATATTTGTTAAGTATCTTATTTCTCTGCATTATCCATATAGTCCTATTATTATGCAATAACTTTACTCGTGTAAAATTACACTATCTAAATTAATATCTATATGATAGAGATCGAAATTCAAAAGCAGATAGTTACATAGTTGAATAAATATAGTAAAAGGAAGAGAGAGAGATAGAGAGAGAGAGAGAGAGTGAGAGAGAGAGAGAGAGAGAGAGAGAGAGAGATGAAGGGAGGGAAAGAGAGAAAGAGAGAGTTAGTGAGACAAGGCAAAGGAGCCACATACTTGAGAGAGGAAAGTAAAAAAAGGAAAGGTGTATGCAGAGATGAATCATCATGGCAAAGCCTGTGCTTGAATGTATAGGTCAGAGCAGTTTAGAGGCTAGAACAAGCTGAGAACAACCATCTCTTATTCAAATACATTCAATTAATTTCCATAGACGACAACAATGGCTCCCCGGTGCGCTTCTTGCGGCGGATCGTGTGGGAGAAATGCGTAAGCGAGAACCAAGGGTCTTTAGGAAAATTTATGAGCAGGCTCAGGGAATGAGAAACGTGAAGCAGCCTGAGAGAATTCTCTTGCACTAAAAAATTACTGTGCTTAAGTAAAAATAGGTTTTTTGAACTGTTAGAAGCACATTCCATTGGTACCTATATTCAAATACATAGTGTGCAAATTTCAACTTTATAAAAAAAGTATAGTTTTATACATTTAAATTGTTTTTACAAAATTATTTGGCTGTGAAAAAAATTATTAATAAACTTTATTTAAAATTAGGAAGATTACGTCGCTAGAGGAAATTTTCTTTGCTATGACGAGCTTCGGATAAAAACGCAAAAAGTGTTTTTTGTATACTTGAGTTTGATACGAGTAGTAAATAAGGTATAAGTGAAATGCGAGAAGAAAAAGGAGAAAAGGAAGGCACGGCATACCAGGGAGCTCTAAACATTGTGAAACTTGATCAAAAAACCACGAAGTATCGAGACAGATCCGAAATCGAATCCAGGATATAAAAGGAATTCGATTGAGTTGATCTCAGTAGGCGCTGCCCTGATCTCGTTAATTTTCATCAAAACTTTTTGCCCGACTTGAGGCTCGGACGTATCATTATCTCCGCATAAAGTATCGAGTAACAGACAGCTCTCGGATGAGAGCCGCTATGCAGTGAGTGAGTAAACTAGCGAACGAGAGAAAGAGAGAAAGGCAGAGAGAATAGGGAGGAGGGAGGGGAGGAAAGAATATAGAAAGAGGGAGAAAAAAAGAGATGAGATTTTGCTTCGAGTGA